CGAGGCGCGTCTTTGGAACGACATCTTCCTCTTTTCTCAATCGTACATTGGCATGCCCCATAACACAATTCGCGCTACTGTTCTTATCGAGACTCTCCCGGCTGCGTTCCAGATGGAGGAAATTCTCTTCGAGCTGAGAAACCACTCTTCGGGTCTCAATTGCGGCCGGTAAGTGTGTTATTATGGAGGTCGTCAGTCCAGCATTCTTGACTTCTCGTCATTTATAGATGGGATTACATCTTTAGTTTCATCAAGAAGCGCAGAGCCGACCGAGGCGCGGTTCTTCCTGACAGGAAGGATGTAACGATGACCGTCGGATTCATGGATGCCTATGTCAAGCTTCTAATCCAAACTTGCCATAGGTATGTCACGAGGTCGTCTATTCTTGCATCATACTCATGCTATCTTTCAACTTTAGGCGTAAGGTCGCAGCAATGGGTGGCATGTCGGCACAGATTCCTATCAAGGATGACGCCAAGGCAAACGAAGTTGCAATGGCCAAGGTCCGGGCGGACAAGCTCCGTGAGGTCACCGCAGGCCATGACGGCACTTGGATCGCACATCCACTCATCAATCAAATCGCCCGTCAAATTTTCGACGAAAATATGCTTGGCCCCAACCAGGCATGTGTTTTCCATTTCTGTCATGCCTCTTTTTTTACAACAAACTTACGGGCTTAACTCTTAGTATCACGTTCTTCGCCAAGATGTCAAAGTTGCTGCCGCGGATCTGCTGAACACCAAAGTCCCGGGGCAGATCACTGAGGACGGCGTACGCGAGAACGTATCGACGTCCCTCGCGTATACCTCTGCGTGGATTGGAGGGAATGGGTGTATTCCGCTCAACTACCTCATGGAGGACGCTGCGACCGCTGAGATTACGCGCGTGCAGCTGTGGCAGTGGGTACACTACGGCGCACGGCTCGACAACGGTCTCCCTATCACGCTTGAGTACATTGACTCGTTGATAAAGGAGCTTGCACCCGGTATCAAGAAGATTGTGGCTGGCGTGAAGGAGGAGAATGTGGACGTTGCGGCGGAGTATTTGAAGGCGCAGGTGAGGAAGCAGTGGCCGAGCGAGTTTTTGACCAGTGACTTGATGCCGTATCTGGCCATTGCCGATGGAGTCGATCCCAAGTATCAAAAGTCGGCCCTCTGAGAGGTTATTGAGGTCGTACTTGAGTAGGCGTATGTTCACATTTCCTAGTCCATTTCCTTTTTCTTCCTTTCGCAATTGGCGGACCGTTTCAGTCAGATCTATGTATATATGTATTATAGGTCACATTTATTACCAGCACAGTACACAGCCTCAATTTGCATATCATATATCCTTTGTCTAGGATGCATGTGTCGTAGGTTTGAACCTTAAGCGCTAAGCTTGAGAAGCTTGAGCTTAAACTTCGACGGCGCTCCTTTATGGAATCCTGGGTTAGAGAATCTTTACTTATTCTGTCCGGTCGTTTCGATCAGCTTCACGATAGCCTAAGAATCCCAAGCGCATACTAAATATACTCGTTAAACAATCAAACTTTGACGGTGCTCCTTTCTAGAATGCTAGGTCATTCAAAGGAATCTTTACTTACTTGATGTCGTCATTCCTTGAAGAATAGGTTCTCCATAACGTATCTTTTTCTGAGTACGGAAGTCATGTTCGATGGAACTCAAGAGGGCACCGTCTCAACAAGACAGTGGAATTTGCATCAAGTTTTTCCCAGATTATTATGTTGGCTTATTATACCCCTGTTCGTTCGTTGAAAGTGGTAAGCTCGAAGGTACTGTTCGCCGTATGATGGTAGGCCAATTGTGGAGGGTTCTGAACAAGGTGGATATGCGGAAGGTAGGTATCGACATCTGTTATGCCGCAGTAATGCGATGAGCAAACAGAGATGAGTAGCCTGTTAGTAAAGACCAAATTCATCTTCAACCTTGATAGTTCCGCGCTCGCCGCCCCGCTATGGTAGGTTCATTATCAGAATAAAAGTCTTAGCAAATAAGTAAGGCTGGAAACTAATACAACGAGGATTTCTGATCGCGAGGCTTGATTAAGAATCGCTCATCAGTACCAGTTGTCGTGCGTGTTACTTCACTGCCAAGCTTTGAATGACTGCGCAGGCAGCTTACCCTATGACAACTAGGGGTAAACATGGATAGAGTTAAGGCCTGGTGCTATTTACATTGAAGATGCTTGGACGAAGTTCCCTTGAAACTCGATCGGAAAGTCAGAATGAGATATCAAGCTGGATGAAATTTGCGCGTGACGACAATGACTAGTTCACGAGAGAGCTGAATCGGTGAACCGTCGACGAAGAAACTTTTCGACGTTCAACTTTCAAGATTCAATATCTCGGCCTTTGACCATGCCCTTCCACCTCACGAAAACTAATGCGAAGCTGAAGAACCATATTCATATGCGCGTCATAATGTCTGGGTGAGAAAACATGGCTCTGCTGGTGCGCCCTCTCCTCTCTTTCCGATCGTGCTGCCTTGCCTCATCTACGAAGCATCCAATGCTTAGATGTTCAACTTCGTCCTCCTCCAGTGACGGCGCTTGGCGTTATACTATGAACAAAAACAACAAATTGAGCAATCATTTCCCACCCCCCGAAATTGAGCTTGCAAACCTGGATTTTAGTATCTGTCTTCAGGCGGAACCACTGGGGGATCGGCCTAAGATAAATTACAGGTCAATATCTCAGCATAGCTGAAATCATTGGGTAAACACACCTGTTTTGGCGTCCTGCCTTGGCGAGAATTCTTTTGGTGCGGAAGGTCTTCTGGGAGGGCTATTCACATGAAGTATCACTTAGCACCCATTTAACATGCATTTGGAGCGACAGGGAGCGTACCATCGTCGGCGGCGGGGTGGTGTCGGTGGTGTCGGACGGATAGAAAAAATAAGGTTTGCCGGGTGGCACCAACTGTATAGTTGTTGTGCCCTGCTTTCCCTTCGTCGGACACTGCCGAGCTATTGCCGAGCATCCTCGGCTACAATTGGGAAGCGGCCCGGGACGCCGTGGGCCTAGACTTGCACGTTGGCGCGTGGAGTTGCTATTCTGGGAACGATCTTTAAACTTCTCCGCGTTGCCTCTGTTCAAACAGCCATGAGACTTTTCCAATGGTTCCCTTTGCTCCTTGCCGCCGCTGCCTTTGCGGCTGATGCAGAGCCTCCTACAGAGCTCGTTGTCGAGACCACTTACAAGCCCGAGGAGTGCACGATCCATGCGCAGAAGGGAGACCAAATTCAGGTCCATTACGTGTGTACTATGGTTCATTCCTCTCATTCTCAAGTCTTATTTGCTTGTTATAGACGGGTTCATTGTTTGACACAGGAAAGAAATTTGACTCTAGGTTGGTGCCAATGATGTTAATCGTACTTTGTTCCTGACATTCGAGTCCCTAGCCACGACCGCAATGCACCTCTAGGAATTACACGTATGCACTTGCCTTGATGCCGTCCACTTGAAACGTATTGACGTTGTGACGCTCGAATCCTAAAGTCGGCATTGGTCAAGTTATCAAGGGATGGGACCAGGGACTGCTCGGCATGTGCGTCAACGAGAAGCGTAAACTCACTATTCCTCCCGAGTTGGGATATGGTGCGTAGTTGTGTTTCCAGCCTCCAACTGCGGATTTTATTGTTGTTATCCCTCCTAGGCGCCCGTGGTGCTGGTGGTGTCATTCCTCCCGGTGCTACACTCGTCTTCGAGACAGAGATGGTCGCCATTAATAGGCAGGATGAGAAGCGTGACGAACTCTGATTCCAATGGACCTTATGTATCGCATGTACGACGCATCTATGACTGTAAAATATGGATTTGAAATTGGGTTGTCTCGCTGAATTTCTTATGGTTTCGTCATTGAGTCGCCCAACGCAACGAGAATGTGGTATGTCGGCTTCTCTTGTACATCTGGCACCTTGAACTATCCTTTTCCTATATGAAGATTCTGCAGCAGATCGCGTAACCTTGCTAAATGCCTTCAAAGTCACAATGGGATCTTTCTGGCTCGAATATCCTCATAATTACTCCTGTCACCCATAGTATATGCAAGGCACAAGCACAGAGGACACGTCAATGTGTCGGATTCAATTTGTCTTCGGACTCTTGGCGTCAATGTCGAGGAACAATTTCGACATCACCGTGTGAGTACTTATTTTGTACGAGTTCGAGTAGTTGACTGTTGGTGATGACGACTATGCTGATTTACTCAAGTCCATTATGGTTCACCTGTATAAGCACAATGACAATGAGGAGACGAAGGATCCACCGCTTCTTGCTCTTGAAAGGAAGGCAGTCTGCAACCCGCTTCGACATTTACGAGAACGAAGTAATTTGACTAGGTTCGTCATTACAGCCAAGACTTCTTTGACAGGTTTCATCAAAATTTTCCCAACAAACCACCTTTCGAAACGATTGATGTTGCAGGCACCGTTAGATAAGTTGAAGGACATTTGTCCAAGCTCCTTACTCAGGAGATGGAGGATAGTGCCAAATAAAGATCATAGAGTTCCTTGACTTACAGTTGTATGTTCCACGACAATTGGTAGCCGATTATTTTGCCACATTCGTTGCGACTTTTAAGTATAATGTGTTCACACTACTTTGCGTGTGGGTTGTAATCTGCAGATTCTTAACGTCATATTACGAAAATTGGCTCAAAGAAAGCCTCGCTGCAGCTGAGATATATCTAAATTTGATTTTGTTGGGACACCTTTATTTGGTCATTTTCATATGGTGGCACTCTACAACAACATTCCAACAAAAGCACCCCAATTCTATTGACCCCAAGTGCCACATCGACGGAGTAAGGGAGCTTGTCATATCCGAATTCCTATACAGTCGATAATCTACCATACAAGCCTGTAGACGCATGCCATTTGTGGCTCCTTGAACTTCCCACGGTCCAGATAAGATTTAAAATTAAAGACGCGCTAGATTCCTCGATTCACTGGCGTCGTTGAGAATAAAAAACATATCTCGTATGTTTCTAAAGCAAAAAGACGGGCCTCACTGGGAGTTGAACCCAGGACCTCCTCGATTAAAGCTCCCAAACGAGGAATCATACTACTAGACCATAAGGCCTTGAGAATAGCGCAATGTAACCGCATGGAGAGTAATTTTTTACGATCACGCGGAGATACAATAAGTCCGAGTTCCGACTAGACATTCCGAGCCGGTATGGTTCATTTTGGGTTCTTTCTGGTCGAGAGGCTTAAAGCATTGGACTGGTCAATCATTGGTATGAGAAGTGCTCATTAAGCTCTCAAACAAGAGGAATCATACTACTAGACCATAAGGCCGTTGTTACGGTTACAATTGATTTACCTGATATCGAAAAATGAGCTAAATTTAGCCAAATGATCGGAATCCGGAAGATCCCGAATACCAGAATTGATGGCTATGGCCTTTGTTTTGACTGCCAGACGGCCAAGCACTCTACAAAGCTGAAGACATGGCGACCATCCACCCTTCGCGAATGGCTCTGATTTCCGGCGGGCGCACGGAAGCTTACAATTCCCGCCGCAGATCTCCATCTCCAATACATAGACGCCGGACTCCTACGCCAGGCCGCAACAACAGTCGTGAACGCACACAAGGTGATGAAAGAGAAAGAGATAATAGGAAGGACAGGGACTATAGTGACGATAGGCGAGGCCGTGATGAATATGCAAGGGATAGCGATCGTGAGGGACGCAGTGAACGACGAAGAGCCAGTCCACAATACGACGACTATCGACGTCCAGCTCCACAGCCTGAAAACCAAAGTCGAGCTCCTTGGCGCCAGCCAGAGAACATGTATTCCAACAGGAACAGCGGGAGTAGACCGTCTTATGCTGGCGGTCCTTCGGGCGGCAGCGATTTTATGGAAAGGTTTCTGATGTTTTTATTACTACGGAGAATCTCTCTAATGTTTCTAACGTAGTCGAAGATTGCAACGAGAAACTCAAGTCGTTGATATCTGGCCACCATCTCCAAAAGCTCCTGCACGCGAGTCGTACGTTAGCTAGTTATTTAATTTAGCTTTTGTTCAGAAAATTAACTTGCTTTTCAGATTACCAAAACGATCGAGCAAAAGGTCCAAAAGAGCACGTTCTCCTTCTTCTGACACCTCGTCATCGTCCGAGGAGGAACGACGCAGGAGAGAACGCAAAGAAAGGAAGCGTTCAAGGAGAGAGAGGGATAAGGAAAGGGACAGCGAGAGGCGCCGATACCGATCTCGGTCCCGTAGCCGATCCCGCCATAAGAGTTATGACGATGACAGCGAGGACGACAGGCGCAGGAGACGTGACAGAGACCGAGACCGTCATACGCGGGACCGCTCAAACAGTGAGGCGCGTACCAGGAGCCCTAAACCTTCCAAACACAGCCCTTCACGTCGTTCAGTGGAGGACGAGGACGAATGGGTTGTCAAGGAGCCTATGGCGCCTCCACCGGTCCCTGTACGCAGTGAGACAAAGGAGACGGCTCTCTCGGTGCCTCGTATGACTGCTTATGATGAGGAAGATGACTCTGCCGATGAATTAGGTCCCCAGCCTCTTATCAAAGCTTCTGCTGCCCGCCGTGTCGACGAACGGTCTTACGGTGGTGCTTTGCTTCGCGGTGAAGGCAGTGCTATGGCTGCTTTCTTGCAGGAAGGCACGGAAGCGCGTATTCCCCGTCGTGGTGAGATTGGATTGACGTCGGGCGAGATTGCCAAGTATGAGGAGGTAGGGTATGTCATGAGTGGAAGTCGTCATCGGAGGATGAATGCTGTGCGGATGAGGAAGGAGAACCAGGTCATTAGTGCGGAGGAGAAGCGTGGTATCTTGAAGTTGCAGAAAGAGGAGAGGGAGAGGAGGGAGACAATTCTGAGAGAAGAGTTCAATGAGCTTGTTGAAGAGAGGTTGAAGGGTGCTTCCATTCGTGAGCCCGAGGCGACGTAATCTATGTCATTGTTATGCAAGTAAGTCAGGGAACCTCAAAAGTGGTCAATGTACGATTTCAGCGTGTCGCTCGCAAACCCGTATCACAATAGAGCATAAAGCTTATGAGTACACACATATCTGGATAAATACTGAACACAAATAATAACGTATCTGAAAAATGACCATACCAAATCGACATCTGAAAATATGTTTTCTAGAAGGAATTGATGTTCGACAACCCCAAGAGTCTGCATTCGGAGAATGTCCCCTGTAAACACTCTGATATGGACAAGAATGGACACAAACCAACTGGCGGAATATAGTCTTGTTTGCGTATCCGCGTAATGTCACCTAGGAAACTGCACCCAAGGTTAGGGAAACAGCTTGTGCTAACAGCGCTAACAGCAGAATCGCTTTACTAGGGTGACGATTCCTCAATTCTCATCTTTCGACGACCTTTGACAAGCGAGTATCGCCATAGTCCCTCCAAAGTCTGAAAATATGTTTTAAGCATTTCCGCAACACGAAGACTACCGAGTGTCAAGTCAGTGAAGGTATCGTCATAGACGCCACTTCTCTTTCTTGACTTTTTGACATGATATATTGACTGGCAGTCTGGACATATATTCCAGAGGTAAGGAAATCGCGATTAGTATGAAAAGCGTAAGCTGAAGTTAGAGGAAGTTAGAGGGCTTTAATCATTTACAAAGTATTTATGTAAAGGACTCGTCACACTTTGATCCAGGCTCCGAAGATATGTAGTAGACCCCTATGTGATACATGGAGAGATCGACGTTCAGATCATCGATCATGCCCTTCGACCCGATCGTCTTCGTGCAGTATATCTCTGTTGGAATACAAGAGGGCATTAGAAACATCGGAGTCAGATTATTGCGTTCGCTCGTTGGTTATATCGAATGCTAGTTCGGTGTTTGTTAAACTAAACTCTTGTCAGTGAACTAGCTCAGAAGATGGCATGCCTGGATGGTTTGATTTGTTGGCCGATGAAAAAAAAATCGAAGCTGATGAGATGTATGATGCTTCAGAGTATCAGAGTACTCTATTCGATCGGACAACATGCTGGACGCCTTAAATAGGCGAGTTGCACTTCATATTTAGGACCCGCGCCACGCTCTTACCGACCGGACGATGGGCAAGATGGCCTCAATCTATGACCACGGTGTTGATTATTCCCCACTCACACGCGCTACAACGATTCCAGTCGAGAGCCTCAAAGATCCATACTTGAACATTTGTGAGTTTGATTAATGGCATGTTTGATGGATACGACTATAACAGCTACACACATAGCTTACGTCCGTATTCAATGGGTGGACCTCGTCAACAATATCAAATGTCGTGTATTTCCCCTTTCTTACTTCTTGAAATTGCTTGAGTCATCGAGACCTGGCGTTGGAGTTTCCAAGGCTTCAATGGGTCTTGTCTACTTGATGGTTGCTCCGGGCTTCTCGCGTCAAGGAGAGTATCTCTATGTACCTGATCTCTCCACCATCAGGTTATGCCCGTACTCTTCCGGTGAAGTCGTCGTTTTTGGCTGGTTCAACGAGAAAACGCCCTACCTTGGAATCGACAATAAATTGACATTGGACGTCCCCTTATGTTCTCGCGCCACTCTGCAACGTGTCGTCAAGTCAGCATTCTCAAGCTTATACTAGAGTGAAATCAATGTTAATGTTTGATAAGGGAGTCATCCAAGGCCGGGGTTGAATACCTTGTCGGATTCGAATCCGAATTCATTCTACTCAGATCGACCAAACCTGTCGTAGCTGCAAGCAACCATAGCTGGTCTGCTACTAATGGCTTTTCTTCCGGCACGGTCGTCGCGAAGACGCTCAAGGAGATTGCCGATGGGATCCAATCGTCAGGCATCGAATTACAGATGTATCATGCGGAAGGTGCTCCTGGGCAGGTAATAATACTTGCTCTGGATATGCTTACAGCGACGGTATCTTACCTTTCTTTGATAGTATGAGTTTGTTACTGGTCCTCTTCCTCCGTTGGAAGCCGCCGACGCGTTAATCCATACCCGAGAGATCATCTACAATACGGCTGCCAAGTATGGACTGCGCGCCACTTTTGCTCCAAGGATCTATATGGACTCTGTTGGTAGCTCCACGCATACGCATATATCGGTTCACTCTGAGGACAACAAGAAAGTACCTGACGAGCTTTCTTCCATCGAGTCTTCCTTCCTCGCTTCGGTCCTTGCCAACCTCCCTGCTTTGACCGCGCTCACATTGCCTACTCAAGCATCGTATAAGAGGGTGGCAGACGGGGTCTGGTCTGGTGGCACATATGTAAATTGGGGTACTGAAAACCGTGAAGCTCCCGTGCGCCTCACCAACGCCACATCTCCCTCCTCCAGGAACTTCGAGATGCGCTTTGTGGATGGGACTGCGAACCCGTACGTTGCTCTCGCGGGTATTTTAGGTGTTGGATTTGCAGGCATCCGCGATAAGTCTGAACTCAAGATCAAGGACTGCTCCGGCCCGAAGACTGCAGCTCAGCTGACTGAGAACGAGAGACAGGCTCTTGGGATCACTCAGAGGATGTCATTGACATGGGAGGAGGCACGTCAAAACCTACACAAGAATACGATCCTGAGGGATTTTGTTCTTGGATCTGAGTATATGGAAAGGTATCTGGCAGTCAACCAAGTAAGTTCAGGTTTTGTCATATATTCTTGTAGCGAACTTGATGAGCGAAACAGACCCTTGCTGATGCATTGGATCTTGATGGTAACGATGAAGTGGCGGCGCTGACTCGCCTGGTTGAGTTCTATTGAATGCATCTTTGGTCAATTTGTTGTCTTGCTAAAGATCCTATAAGTTTGCATTTCGTACTCAAAGCTTGGAGCATGTGTGAGTGTGGGCGTCTGGATGAGGTATCATCCATACTCTTCAACGTTCGGATCATTGACAACTTGATCAAAGCGTAGAATAATGGCGCGCAAAGTTCTACAATCGGTGTCTAAATATCTAAGATTTCATATTCGACCGTTGCATTGCAAAAACGTCGAGAACAGTACTAGTCTGAACAATGTTCACGGCAGTAGTGAAAGCCTGAGCTTAGGCTTAGCTTTTCCAGGTCCAGGCTTGTATAGTTCCACGTCATAATTCCAAGCGTGAGCTGTGAGCCCAAGCCTCATCTGGCTCA